AGAAATTACAAGTGGGCATGTATGAAGATTTAGAGGCAGCTGGCATTTCATTAAGTTATCTCCAGTAAGAGAACCTGGGTTTAACTTTAGATAATGAAAAAATGTAGTGAAACAAATTACTCTGAACATTTCTACAAAAACCTTTCATATTTAAAAAAGGTCACTTGATTAAAAAAGGTAAGAACAAGATCTATTGCACAACTTGTTCTTCGGGGAACTTTTTGAAGCAGTTGCAAGTATGTTGCAGAGTCACATTGCCAAGACCTAGGAGATTAAATTCAAAACCCTCTAGTGGTAGATACTGAACAGCAAGGGAACAAAGACTTTTTTTAGCCAGCAACAAAAGTTATTGAGAAAAAAATAGAAAAGTACTCACCTTTAAAAAAATTGTTATAAAGCAAGGAATATTTAAGTCAACACAGCTTCCTGTTCTCAAACAATTTGAGTATAACTGGCTTATGTCTGTGAAGAAATGTTACAAATTTGTTCCTGCAAAAGCTTTCCACTTGCAAAACTTGTTAACAGTATTTAGCCCACTACGTTCACCACCAAATACCACTTTCAGCAGTAGTCTTGAGAAAGGGAATTTCATAAAACCACCCAGACAAGTCAGTTGGTGAGTAACACGCAAGCATGTTTTGACCATGTAGTAGGAGAGAAAAGAAAAACAAGAGCTGAACCATGTGCAGCTTCCTCTAGCTTAAAACACAGTGATATGGGCATCCTACACATTCCCAGTGTCAAAATGAGAAATAGCTTCAGACAATCTAAACTTCAGAATAAGATCTGGGCTTGTGCCTACACCAGGCATTAATATGAGATATATTGGGACCTATTACAAGTTCTACATATACACACCAAATAGTCATATTCAAGTTAAGTCATTCTTATCAGAAGTGATCTAGCCTTAGCATTCTAGAGTATTTAATTCCAGATATTGCATTATTCTAATATAGCCATTATCTATTGGTTAAATGTCTACCTGATTTTATTAAAATTAGGTTTTAACACATTAAAGAAACATTAAAATGGCCAAAGAAGCAGACACAAACCTATTTCTGCAAGCCTCATCTTCAAGCCTTCCCTTCTGCACTCTCACAGGTAGTTTCAGGAACTTTGCTCAGACATGACAAAACCATAGACTGTGTAAATCACAAAAGCAATAACTGTGGATAATGGCAGTCAAAGGGCAAAGAGCAGTTTTGACTTTTTGGGTGTCCAGAGATTTAATAATTTCTCTACACCATTCTGCAGCTCTTCACTTGTTCACAGCTTTCCAGTAACAACAGAAAGAAAAGCACCAGTGTTATCTATTATTCAGCCGCCCAAACTGAAAAAAAAAAAAAAAAAATCAAGAAAGTTTCAGCAAAATATACACACGAACACCAGCAGACTTTTACCATTTCTGTAGTTATCCACAAACTGCAGTCTCAGTAGCCAATCCAAACCTTAGAGAGGGAAGTACTAGTGACTACAAGCAACAAATCTTAGAAATCAAACTCCAGGAGTACAAAATATTAAATTTTATTTAATCAAGTTTAAGGCTTGAGAAAAAAAAAAAAATATATACTGAAAGTCACTCAGAAAAGCCGTTTCAGAAGAGACAGAACCTCCCCTTCCACTGGCTTAACAATGTTCAAGCTGCATGACAACCCACAGGCAGGAGGGGGAAGGAAGAGGAAAGGATGGAACGGGGAGACAAAACCCAAGGCATTTCTATGTATAAGCCAATTGCTACATCAACCTCAATGGACTAGAGGTACACCTCTATCCACATGGCACTGTATGAAGGTCACCAAAACTAAAGACCCCTTGGGAAGAAATATTCAGGTTTTCAGGAGGCAACTGAAGCTCCTTTGGTCACTGCACTTTTTTTCAGTGCTTATATTCATCCTCTTCTTCATGTACAGGGAAACTGTGTCCAAATGCAGGTATATTAATAGCAACAAAAGGGCAATTGCACTGTCAAACATACTGACAAATAAATACATTGCTTCACAGAAATAACCTGTGCTCATTTCTGAAAAATAAAAGCGAACACACTGAAAAGTTTCCTTCTCTCAGTCTAGTTATTCAAGTCTGATCTCATATGTGACCTCTTCATTAAAAACCTTGTTTCCATTGTAGTGTTTGTGGAGTTATTCCAAATGCAACCACTGAAATCTCAACATGAACAATTTATCAAACCTCTCTTTGTGAGATCATTGAATTGCTTCTCCTTCAAGGCTTTCAAAGCAGGCTCACACCCAACTGCTTTTGCTGACAAGACTTTTTTAAACCACAACCTAAATCTTTAGCCATGAAGTCACTGCAGTTCCACAGAGAAGATGCTAAATATAACTACAGTAGAAAGTGGTAAGAAAGTATTCCCATTCCAAGTCTGAAATTACGCTAGCCATGTGTACCACCAATGGGGTCCACTTCAAAACGTCTAGGGATAAAGCAGCCTAGAGCCCCGGGGTTTTAAAAGAAGTGATACTGAATAAGCACAGAGACGTTTATCCACCGTGAAAACAAATCACTCTGTGAATTTAAAGATCCTCAAATAGGTTGAACTTGCTCTCTTGAATTCAGTTCCAAGTAACTGAAGCATTGATACAAAGCTGGTGGTAATACAGCCGAAGCCAGTAAGAACAAACTGTGGAAAGACAGCACTTCAATTAAATTCTGTTTTGCATACAAACAGTACTTCAAAACGAAACCAAGTGTTCATTTGTCTTCAGGCAACTTGGCAAGATTTGCAGACACTGGAATCCTGATCCGTGACACTGGCTCTTGTTGGCAGCTAATTTCAGTGCATGAACTCCGCAGATATCTTCGCACATGACGATTTTCACCAACCGCTGAAATTACTTCCCAGCATTAGGAGATTTCTGTGTCAAAAAGTGGCAAAGGGAAACATACTCCCTAGACACAATTTTCAAAGCAATGTTTTACAAATAAAAAGTTACAAATAGGAAGCATCCTTCTCCAATATTACATACATTTGATTATTACAGATAACCTTAACAGAGTAAGTTGGTTGATGAGGTGGTGTAAAGTTTCAAGCACCAGAGTTTAAAGCCAAGGTTGCTGGACACTGCTTTGCTACTTGCAAAGTAGCAGTAACAGCAGCAAATTTTTGGCTGCTCCTAATGGAGTAGATTCAACAAATAAGTAATACAGATCTCAAATTCAAGGCCATACAAAAGAAATGCCTCTTGCTCTCCCCTCAGTGATCTACTGCTATTGTTTCCTTGTTGTATATCAAAGCTAAAAAAAAGAAAAAGAAAAATAAAGAAATCACTGCACTTCTAGCGATTTTACTCTCAGGTTTCTCAGATGAGTAATAGCAGACTGTTCTCTGCTACTGTAAGGAAATCAGCCATCCTTAGACAAGCTTCCTTTTCCTGTTGTGTCTCAATTGCTAGCCAGAAAAAGAACTATGAAAGCTGAACTGAAGTACTCAAGAAGTACAGCATTGTCTGCAAAGTGCTTCACAGATTAAAAGCTGGAAGGATGTCTGGACAATCAATACAGACACAAAGATTCTTACTGTTGATCAGCTTTTGCCAGCGAAACATTCATTAATACATGCATAATAGAAAAAAGGACATCAGAAAGTTATTTAAAAGTTTGGCTTCCTAAGAAAGCCATATACTTTGGAAATACAAGTATTAAATCCTCCAGGCAGACTACATGTAGTAAAATATCATTACAAAAATATATACTTTTCTAAAATTTACACTATGTTAGGCACTGTAAATAAACCTGCTATCCCTGAAAAGATTGGTGTCACTGGAAGCAGTAAACAACGTTAGTTATATGGCCCACAGTAAAACTGACAGCTACAGCTACTTCCAAGAACCTTTTAGTCACATACTTCTATCTTCAAGCTAAAATACTACGCCAAAGTCTTTTAAAGAATACTGGAACTCTTACTGAACTACAGATCCATCTACTGAACCCCAAGAAGGGAAGATGGGAAGAAGAGAGTTTAGTTTTCTTCTGATAAAAACAGAAAAAGCTTACTTCAGAGGGTGCAGTTCAGTTTGATGCAGAAAACTACAGTGAAGAAACCATTTTGGTTCAACATATTGTGACTGGCATTTGAACCATGCATCAGAATACAAGCAGAACTGATGATTCAATAGCTTTACAGAAGGTTTAAAAATTCAACAACTCTAATCTTCCACTAAATGTGTATTTCCTCATTAAAAAAAAAAAATCAGTAGGGATCAATACTGAATTTAAATGTTTTTCATCAGTCCTGATATTAGCAGTTAGGACATGTGAAGATCAATATGGCAGCTGTGAGAGAAACTAGAGGAAAGGCAAAAAAACCAACAGCTAGCATAGCATGCTTGCTACTTACTGAAACAAACTGCATTTTGGAGATCTCTGCTGACAGCACTTTTTAAAGATACTACTGATCAATAAAAAGCTAAGCATTTCTACAGAGGTTTTTTTTTCTTCTATAAATAAAGAATATTTACATTTTTTTCAGACAGGAAACAGCATCAGGGATTCACACCCCTTTGCCTGAAATGGAGATGTCTAACATATAATGCTACAGATAGTCAGATTTTTCCCCTCTTGAGAAAAGGCTTCCATTTTCAAAATGGCATGGGTTACTCAAGCTCTGACGCTGAGCACAAGTTCCTGCTCCTGAGACATTTACATTAATCCCAGTCAAACAAATATCTCTACTTCTGCATAACTGAAAATCAGTTAAAGAACTAGACAATCCATGACTTTTTTTTTTTCCAATTTCCAACACCATGACAATTACAGTTGCTGGGTATCTTCCCCAAAAATGACTGCATGAGTCTACTGTAGAGATTAAAATGATTTCAAGATTCTGAAGAAATCAGCACACCTTCTGAAAAGATTATACTTTGAATTGATGACAGTTGGGAATGAAAATGGAATAATCTTCAAGGTAATTCTTCAAGGTAATTCTTCAAGGAAAGATTTTACAGCAGTTTCAGGTCTCCTATAATCTTTAAAATCTGTTCCATCAGCGTCTTGGGAAATTCCATTTCTTCCTCAGAGACCAATGCTGGTGCACTGAGTTGTCTTGTGAGGAAAAAAAAAAAAATGTAGACAGATGTGTGTTCGGAGATTTTTTTTGTACCGGCTTCTAACAAAAAGCATGAGCAGGCTAAAATCCACACAAGGCTTTTTAAAACAGGAGTATTTCATGGTCTGTGCAGTTCTTCCACCTTGGTGTCAGACCAATAACTGTAAAATATACTTTTTCACATCACATGTCTGCTTTTATATTCAGAAGGCATTACCTGCCTTTACAGCTTCAATATCAGAAATCAATGTCCTGGCTAGGAAAATCCCAAAAATCTAAAGAGACAAAAAACAAACCATTTGTGAGATGAAACACTTGCAACATACGAGTCTGCAAGAAGTTTCTAAAAATTAAAGCCTATTACCATTCATCATTATTGCAGAATGGGAACCTACTTCTTATGTGTTCCTATTGCACTATACTGATGTCAGTGCACCTACTCTTCCAAATAAATATATGCATTCATAAAGTGTTTGCAGATTCAGGTATCATTTCATAGCCAGGATCATCCATCAAAGCACAGTTATTACTAAAAAGTAATAAAGGCAGAATCTTGCAGGAAATAAGTCATGAGAAAAAGATGTTTTCATGTAACACTTCAGGAGCATTCAAAATAATAAGCTTCTAGATGCCTTAGGACTGGAAGAAATCCGCTTTGCAAAGTTTACTTGAATCTTATAACACTCACACTTACCTACAGGTAAAGTTACAAGTCAGGCATTTTCTTTCATTCATTCCACAACTTTGGATAATCCAGTCAATTTTCTGATCAAGTTTTTTAAATACATACAGAACGTACAATTACCTGTACTAAAATGAAAATCTTGTCACAAACAGTAGTGAGAAGAGTCCCAGATTATTCTGAGACATTTAAATTTGAAATTTTAATGTTCAAGTTCTCAGGGAAATCTTCCTTTACAAATTGAAGATAAATTCTTAACTCAGCACATTTCCTGAAACACTCTTAGAAAAACAACAAAAGAGTGAGGTGAAGTTTTGGAAAAGCCTAAGTGTTTGTTTTAGATGTAGACAGGCTATGTTTAATTCTCAGTCCTACCATGAAACAGTTTAATGCACAAGACAGACCCAATTTGAAAATACAAGTGACTGTGAAAGTGGTTTCACAGAGACTCAGGACATGAATAAGGACAACAACATCAAGTTATTGTCAGTCACCACACTGCCAAAAGATTATCTTGAATATCTTCCTAACTGAAGGTAGTGTTCTCAAGACAGCATCTCTCAAAGCCATGGAAGCACTATCATTAGATGGTGATAAAATATCAAAAACCAAGCAACAGAGGGCAGTATTGCCATGGCTGGGAAAAAGTATTTTGCCAGCTCTTTATGCTCAACTATTTTCAGTTAAATGGAAAATACATTCTGTAGAAGACTTACAAGTTTATTATTTCCCACTGAAGTGCTGCAGTATCATAGCGAAGAAGTTTTGGTAAGTGTAAATAACTGCCACAACAAAAGCAGGATCCACCTTGAAAGAAGTAATCTGATATGTTTTACTGAGAACGTTGGTTCTCTTTCTTTGACATACCAAGCACCGACAAGGTACTGGAAGAGGTCACAGCAACTCCTTATCCGGTTCTGCTAATTTTACATTTGCAACCTGTTCACCATTTTCCCTCCTCTTCCTTTGTCAACTTTTTTGAACAGTATGCTACACATTACTTCAGCCAACTGAACAGTAATTTTAGTATGAAGGACAGAATTGTATTTTAGTGATTTCACACATGTGAGAGAAGGCTGTAGTTCAGATCTACTGAATAGATGACCAGAAGACTTCCCCTCCCTCACAGCCTATTGAAATGTAAGAAATGTATTGTTGTACCCCATTATATAAAATGACCGCATATCAGCATATTGATATATTAATATATAACTATATACATCACAATCATCATATACTGTATGCATTATAATTGTGTTGTATTTTTATGATGAACTTCATTGCTTTGAAGAACATAATCTCAACAGAATTAAATTAACTGATATCAGATATTCTCACTCTGTTCCCCATCCCTATTTTTTTCCATACTATTCTTATAACTAAAAAAAGTGTCAAAATATTTACTATACCTCTCTCTCCATAATGACTTCTACCTTCAGTAGGTTTGTTTCTGCAAACTCAAAACTTTTTTCAAAGTAGCATAAGGAAACCAACTAACCTGGAGCAGTGAGATGGCTATGAAGACACCTGCAACAATGTAGATATTTCGGGGTAACCAAGCTTCAAGAGCAAGGATACATCCTTTGACAAAAATCTGATTTTCCCATTCACTCTTGCTCTGAATGTAGAGAAAAAGAATAAGCATGTTACTTTTCTGCTCAAGTTATAATATTATAAGATCAGTCAATCAAATGATACAGCTAAACTATGTAGTAATGTTTTTAAACAGACACCAGAAATACATATATGCCCAGATGAAACCAGGGAATGTCAGACATTGATGTTAGTATCTTCCTACAAATCCTCCTATTAGAACACTTTGAATACTATTATCTGCTAATTCTAAAGTTAGACTATTAGAACTAAGAATTGAAATGCACATTTGAAATGCAAGTCCTACCCCTTTTTGAAACACACCTTTCCTTTCACCTTTTCCATCACTTGTTTTCTCCACCCTCTCACAGTACAAGTTTACTTTAAACAAAGGAAAATCTCTACCACACTCTACTTGTAGTATGATGTAGCAGTCAATTAGCCCCCAGAATTTTAAGCTGACATACCTATCAGAAACTCCACCATTTTTATAGTTTTGCCTATGCAGGCTCAGAACATGACAGACAGCAAGATCCCAGCACCTTACCTTCTTTCTGACATCATAGCCGCACTGTGTATTCACAACTTTTTGCTGCAAAGCAAAAAAGATTTATTTTAAATCAACTGAATTCTACTCATTTCTGTTTAAAGGAAGTTTTTCTGTCTTTTAGATTCACAGACAAATGAGGACTGTCAGAAACAACCATTTTAAGAAGCATTTACAGTAAAAACGAGCAAAGCACTAGCAGAACACAAGAAAAAGCAATGACAAAGCAGAGGTGTATACTAGCAGGAAAATATCCTCCACCCAAAATCCCAGCTTCTATGGCTCGGCTTTCAACTAGCAAGGACTTTTTAACATGAAGCGTCGCAACTGTACTGCCAGCATATAGGTAGGACATCTGCATTTCAAAGATCAGTTTCGTGTCAGCTATTTCATATAACACCTCAACACTGAGGTAACCATAAAGGTATCAGGCAGATTTATTTACACCTGCAGTAGAGAAATGCGTCTTACAGCTTCATAATTTCAAGTGGTATACAACTTGCTATCCCAATCACTTAAATCAAATAACAGCTGTAAGTTACTTGAGCCCCCTCAGTCGATAGTCAGTCCCACACACAACCCAGCTCCAAGATAGACCTAGTCTTGAAGGCAAAACACTCCAGTTGCAGATTCAAGTAGGAAGACCATAAACACGTTCCAGATCGCCAACCCCACACAAGCCAATGATCTCCAAAGATGCAAAGACATTCATTTTAAGACATTTTTTGTTTTGTCTGTATGAGACTTATGAAAACATATGTATCACACAATTATAGCATAATTTACACAACACATAGTGAGTTATATTGAAACATCAGGAGTAGACTCTCATATTAAAAACATTTAAACATACTTGTGTCTCCTTAAATACAGCACCAGCAACAGAAGAAGTTGCAGGGGAATAGTACTGTGCCAAATTAAAGTAGAAAATAATTACTGAGGAATCTGAACATGGAATATTTCCCTGACAAAGTCTTTCCTTGGCTGATTTCCAAGACAATAAAAGCCTTAGTATAGCCTACCAATGGCTATCTGCTCCACACGAGGACTGCTGGACTAACTTAGAGCTCAAACTATTCCCGCTAATACTATAAAGTATTATATGTTAGTTTGTACCTCCACATTTTGGCTTTCACAGAAAGGGTCAGATTCTTGAAGTTTAATGAACAGATCTTACTGATAAACACCTAAATCTTCCCAAAACCAGAGAATTGACTCAAATACTTTACACTAAATTTGTGCACGAGCACTTCAGTTGCTGATAAACAACCAGCAAATGGAGTTACTCCAACTTTCTGGCAGAGGGGTAGTCTAACATTAATTCTCACTGAGGCAAATGTGCTCCTTAGACAGTGCTCTCAGGCCCTTACAAGCTAGATAAGAGGCCAGGAATCCAAGGAAACAATTTATTGGGAATTAAAAAAAATAAAATAAAAATCAGCCCCCAATACTTGCAGACTCAAGCCATACAACAATAGCTTGAATTCCTGGTGACAATAAATTTTCAGCTGTACAACATGTTGCTGTATTTGGACTCTAAAAAGGATGGAGTAGAAACACAAAAACAGTTTGTCTGAGCAAAAGTAATTTTTGATCATTCAAAAAACCTTTTAAAGCCCTAGTCATCACACCATATTCAGGAAGTACTTCCTTTCATAACTCTCCAACCACATCAGAGCAATACAAAGCCAGGAAACAACTTACTGCAGGATCAGGTATACAACAGGAAAAAGGAACGCCGCACTTCTCACGACTTTTGCTTTCACTGCTGCAGTTAAAGTATATGTTAAAGTCCCAGTCATCTGGACCTTGGGCACCACAGCAATGGTTCTGCAACAGATAAACAAACGCTTAGCATTTGGGGGTATTTTAGAGACAATTGAACAAATTCTCTGGAATTATATTTGTTCATTGTTTTCACTTTCTCTAAGGCTGTGCAGAATCAATGGCAACATCACAGCAATAGAAACGAGTAGTTAATACTGTAGCTCTATGAAAATCAAAGCAATACATTTGGCATACTGCTCCTGGAAACAGGTGTCAGGATAACAAGCGAAATCATAGAAATTACCACTTTAGATCTAATTGCTAGACGTAACCAGTGTACATCCATAAATGGTGCAATAAAATAGTTTATACAAATGCTTTGTAACCCATTATTTCCAAGTCAACCAAAACCAGAAAAACTATGAAAAAGGTTTCTTTAAATTGGCGACTCCATCCTCAAATCTTCATGAACCAACAGGTTTTCTTCTTCTTCTTTACTGTAAAAACTGGATCCAAACATTTGTGAATATACTTCCTTTCTTTTAAATGAGAAGGGTTTCATATCCAAATGAATTAACTGGTAAAATCTCACTAGCTCAAAGGTCAGTCAATTCTAGAAGCATTACACATAAGTTTCTTGACCTAAACATTGTAGTGTAATTACCATAATTGCAGGCTGGGGAAGTCCCAACTTTTCAAGGAATGTTCAATTCCTGAAACTAGTGAAAGCTAGTTTCTTATTAAGTTATGCTTTGCAGTTTACTGGCCTGGCTATTTAAGGGAGCAAATCTTTCTCCATAATTTGAGTACCTGAAATGTTATACCATCGCACACAGTTTCCTGGTACCTCATGAAGATCCATCCTCTTCGGATATCTCTACCACCTCTCCTCTGCCCACTGCCTGTCTTCACAAATACTTGTATTAACCTAACTGTCAGTGAGACCACCAGAACTTGAAGTCAGTAAATGGATTCAGAAGTTAAATTGTGACAGACACAGATGTGAACAGAGAGCAGAATTGTTTACAGTTTTCACAGGAAATATGACTAAAGAGCTGAACAGAATGGTCAGAATAGAAAACACACCAAGAAAAGAAAATTATTTAAAGTCACTAATACATTTACCACGAAGAAAGCAAAAGAGGTTCATTTTTGTCTTTCTAGTCCCTCCTCCCTCACATCTACGCCTTTGTAAAAAGCCATACAACCACTAAATGCGCTAGTCTACCTTAGTAAGGTACAGACAATGAGGTCACTCACAGGCCTGAAAGTTATGTAATTAGTCAGAGCAAGGAACTGCTTACAAAAAGCTCTCTGGGTCCCGAGGCACATACTGAGAACAGAGCAAGTCAGCCTAAGAAATATAACTCCTTAGAAGATGGGTTTCAGTGAGTTATTTGAACACACTGCTGCACCTTGTTGTTCAATCCTTGCAGAACTACACTTGCTAATCAGCACTGAATACTTCCCCTCCTCCCTCGGTACTTTCAGGTATGGATCAACGACAGGCCAATTCAGAGATTTTTCTGGTCTTTCCTTTTTCAGGTTTATTAGCTTGCTAATCTGGCTAGTGAACTCCTTTTAGTAAGCTCAGCCTTTTATTTTCGTTGAAAAGTATTTAACTGGAGTCCAATTCTAAATCAGCTTAGTGTATTAGCCTGGCTGACTGCACTGAAACTAGATAAACAGAAAGAGCAACAACAGAGCAGACAACACTGAGACAATTACTGGTGTTGGACACAGCCAGGAGGAGCCCTACCTTACAAAAAGGTGCCCTTGGCACCAAAAGCTAAAGCAGAACAGCACTGAAATCCATCCAGGCAACTTAGAGGATGCTTCCATAACAACGCACACAAGAGTGAATGAACAAGATAGGTAAGCTGCTGCTAATATACAGCTGACCAAACTGCTATCCACTCTAAAATGTACTTTGCTATCAAACTGAGCTGTGAGCGCAAATTTCTAAACATGATCTTCTAGAAGACGGAAGACAGACAAAAATAACTTTCTTTCATAAGGGGAAAATGCATAAGAGAATCGTTTTACCTCTTTGTGAAGTACTCACATATGCACTCTGTTTCTCTCTGTATATTTTTTTTTTAACCACACACAAATAAATAAAAATCTGAAGAATCACCCTCACTGGTTGTTTCCTGGGTGTGATTACAAAAGCCACTGATTGAATGGAAGCTACCAGGCCCTTACTAGCACAGGCCTTGTCATCTCCTGGTGTACACCACTGTGTTCTGGTAACTGAACATTTTAGGACCACAGGAGCGTAAAATTATTTCAACCCTCCTTGACAACCACCTGAGTAGAGACTAGCGCTTCCCAGTTAATGAAAATCATCTTTTGCTTCCAGATGAGGTGCATGTCAGAAGATAAAAGGCTCTGTGCTGCACTCCCTGCACAAGGCTGCAGTGCCTCCTAAAATAAGAGTGCAGACTACTGGTTCCATTGCACAATTTTCTTCAGGATAAAGAGGCTTTTTGTCTCTCACTTCTCACTTAAACTGGTGCAAGACTGATCAGAAAAGGGGAGCAAGTCAAGAAGGTGAAAAGGCAGCTAGATGCTTAGCAGAGCCTCCACATTTGCAGTTCGAACAGCACTGCATTTTAGAGTATCTTGCCTCCCTGATGCTTTCAATGCAGAAAGAACAAAAAAGCACATCTGTACCATGGCACTATTAGCTATAGAATATGATAAAACTGTAACAAAAAGGAAAACTGCCAAATCTACATCTTCTCCTAGAACGTGTGCAAGAAGTGACAGGATATGAACTTACAATTTTCTGTAGCGAATCAATGAGGTTCTGGAGATCAATATCATCTCGGTAGGATTTAATGTTATTCTCAAAGAATTCCTTCACCCTGTCCCTCACCCAATCCTGGAATAGGAAGGCCAGGAATGTTTGCTCCGCAGAACTGCAAAAAGAGTTCCAAATTAGAAAATATCCATTCATTCTGAATGCATCCCTACTCCAACTCCACCAGAAACAGACACAGGGAATTAAGTTAAAATCCTCACTCAGTACAGATACTGTGAGAACACAGCCTGTTAAATGTGAATACAATGTAAAGAAACGCCCAAGAGGTAGGGTTATCTTTTTGTTTTGGTCACCTAAACTCAACGGTAAAATGAGCACCATACCACAGTCATTATGCACAGCAGTGAAAATATGTCTTGATGTTACTTCTCGGACTGTTTCCAGTTTTATAATTTTTTGTCCAGCTTAACTGTTTTGAGATCTAAAGCAAGAAGCAGCCTCAATTTAAAAACAACCGTTTAAGAGATTTCACATCAAAGTCCAAGTTTTGCCCACCAAACATTTAGAAGTAGTTTTTAAGGGATTTTGTTCTCCTAAGCCACTATACCATCCCCTCTACTAATTCCTGACTAAATATGTTCCAGAACATAATATTTTGTGATATTACACACACATTAGATTGTGGTATACATACTGTAACACCACCACTGTATAGCAGAATGAATGAAGGGAAGAAACATTTTCCAGAAAGAGGAAAATATACATAGGTTTGAACCTACACTGCTTCTAATGTCATTACTCAGAGGCTCATCAGGGGAGTAAGTTTACCATATGCATTGTAACAAACCAAATTCTATAAATTATCTGGGTTTGCTACTAGTTCTTCACCCATCATTCCCACAGGTCACATGCATAACAACACACTCATATAATGATGTTACTTACAAACTTCAGAAGGCAGATGTTTTCTCTCAGTGCTCCTACACAGCCAGCAAATCCCAAAGTAAACATTACTATTCCCACCATTAAGACAAGCACCACTGGGTCCAGACCATGAAGACCAGTCACCTTCGTCAGATCAGACAATACACCCTGAAAGAGAAAAACAGGATTGCAGAAAAAGGTGACTAGTATAAGCATGTTCTTCATTTAACATTCCTTCTGGATATCCATGACTTCCACATGATTCCAAATAAATTGGTTGCAAACCCTTGAGCTTGTCAACAACAACCCACATGTAAAAGCCTTCTAAAACAGTTATTGACGATACCTATTCTCTTCACCCTAGCAGAGGAAGTATTACTGCAAAGGTATAGCTATTAATTCTTCTAAGAAGTAAATCCAGTAGTCAGCTTCTCACATTACATTCTCCTAGGTCTGTTTGCCAAACAAGCTTCCACAAGATGGTGCCAAAAGCTTAATACTATCACTGAATATTCATTTAGTTTCAAGGAAAAAGAATTAATGCTTTACATTAACTTAAAATGCATCACCCAGAGGGGCACTCCAATTTCAAAGTCTTTAAAAAAAAAAATTAAGAAAATAATTCTTCCAATCCTAATGTTTAGGCAGCAGAAAGGGAGAGACATTTTAACTACAAAGCAGGTTATGGGTGACATTTTAAGTGAGGAGAACAAAATCCTGTTTTGGTTTTCAAGGGAAGCAGATTTTTCCTCTCAACACTTTAGCTCTACCCCTTCTAGCGCTGAATAGTTTTAGGAATGCTCTTCCAAAATCTTGCAAAAATACAGAAGTATACTCTGTATATTCCCCTTTCACCCCAGATAAAATTCTTACACCAAAACAAGTTATCTATTCCATGTAAGATACTTGCAATTTGTGTAATTTAGCAGCAGTTTCTTTATTGTCAAGATAATTGGTGTCTCTGGATAGTTAACAAAAAACTCATCTATTAAGCCTGCCTGCCTAGGTCTTAGGACAGAATTTCTAAGTCTTATATAAATGTAATGCTAACACAGAGAAGCCCTTATCATTTCTAGATTAGGTTTTAAAGAAACTAAGTTTATATACCAGCTGCCATTAAAATTCCATCAAAGACATATAACACAAGCTTCAAGTAATGTGCAAGAACAAGATGCAACATGGAGAAGACAGGAGGGAGAAACAGTTGAAACTCTTAAAGTTAATGAGAACAATCTGTAGGGACATCCAGGTAGCCTTGCAATAGTCTGAGCGCTCATCATACACTCATCAGCAACACACAGACATTTTAATAAGGAAATGCTTTCCCTTTAAAACAGAGAAATAACAAAAATCAACACAGTACAATATCCCATAATTACATGTTTACCATATTTCATTTTTTTCTTTATAAAGTATATTCTCAAGCTAACTGTTTAATGTAAGAGAAAGATAGAGACCTGTAAAGTAATTCATATAAGCAGCCTAATTCTGTCAAGGTGTCCTGGTTTGAGGTATGTACTGTAAATCCTCACCTTGCTACTCAGGTATTTGTGCTAGATTTATATGTAAAGAATATACATCTGAAAAGAATACCTTGGAAAAATCCGTATCACTTTGTATTTAAGTGCTTACTTAACAAAAATGTCGTCAAAATACAGCATTAGAGGAAAATATGCACATGGAGAAACTCAATCAGTGTCTTTTCATCAGATGATGAACAGTACTGTAGTGATACGCAGGAGTTCAGCTTCCTTCATAATGGGTTCCATAACAGATCTTGCTAGAGTTTTTAATTTGGCAACAGCAAGACAACCAAATTATTTTTGCCAAAACTGTTGAAGGGATGAAACGGAAAAAAGAAATAATTGAACTGTAGAATTCAGAATTGCCTTGCAATGGTTGGTGACTAACAATTTATATACCCTATTAAAAAGTGGTCTTGGGAAGCAATGACTTTTCTAGTTAGTGCCACCAGTGACACATTTCCACTCTTACAAACTGTAAGACCTCACAGCTATCAAACTTGGTCTACTGGGTTAATTATGGTAGTTCCACCTAGCCCAACCTTGGCTCAGACCCCACAATCAAGGAAGACGTGCCAAGATTATCTAGGCTAATTCAATGTCTTTGGTTTCATAGTGTATTGGTTCTACAAACACTTCTCAACCAGGATGTTGAAACTTTCACAACTATTTCCAGCCATCTCCTTCCCACACTCAAACTCAAGCGCTTTTTTCAGACAATTTCACTTGCTCAAGCAACATCTTTTAGAAGAAAACTTCCTCTGATCAAAGCATGTTACAAAGAAAAGTTGGCAGGAACTGGGCTCAGATGTTGCTGGTTCACAACAGTTTCTTCATGTTTGCATTTGATGTTTACAACATTCTCTTTTGAAAAGAAGGTTGTGGGGTTTTTTTTGACTAACAAAAGATGTTAAGTGAAAAATAGTGGAAAATCCCGAAGTAAGTAAACAAGAGAATTCAAGGGACTACCTCATTCCACCTTACTCATCTCTCTAAGGATGATTCTGCCTGTGCCATCTGCAGGATGGTAAAAGCTTTGAAGCACAGGCTGCCCTATACAATAGCACCTAGGTTTCCTACAGGTATACAGAAATAAAGTCTGACACCTGAAGCCAGTGTCAAAAATCCAAGAATAAAACTCAGCCTTTAAGTCTTCCTTTCAGTCACTTAGAACAGTGAATTAAGGAGTTCAACTGTACACACTTAACTTGTTTTCCAGCTTCTCTTCATGCTTACAAACATTCGGCCACCATCTCAACTGAAGTGTGTTGGCAACAGAGGGCAAACATGGATTGTCTTAAAAAAAAAAAAGTCCCTAATACAGCCCATTAACAAAACACCAAAGCAGTTACTGGTTTGAGATACACTAATATGGAAACTACAAAATACAGCTGACAAGGGCAGAGTTGATTCCTTATAATGGAGTTCTGTAAACTGGATGTTGATTGTCACAATATCACATTACCACTGATTATAACACAAGTTACATGCACGCACCTTTAGACAGTTTACACACCTCTGTGTACAAACACAAAGATAGAGCAGCAGACTGAAGAATAAGTACACTTAATTGTAGAGTAAGTTCAGGTTGGAAGAGACCTGCCTGACACAGGGGAGCCCAAAACTGGACGTGGTACTCCAGATGCAGCCTCAAGTGTGATTAATATTGGAAGAAGCTCCTCCCTCAACCAGGGCCCACACTGGTCCTAATATAGCCCAGCACACTGTTGGCCTTGACATGAAGGCACACCTGATATTCAACTTCCTGATCAACAGGAGCTCATGGATTTTCCTCACACAGCTGCTTTCTAGGCAGCCAACCCCCAGCCCACACTGATGCAAAGGTTTACTCCATCTCAGGCACAGGACTTTGCATTTGCCCCTTTTTTTTTTTTTTAAATAAACTTCCATAAGGTTCCTGTCAACCCACTTCTCTATGCTCTTGAAGTCCCTCTAAATAACAGTCCTGCTTTGAAGTATACCGACTGCTCCCTTTCCATTTATTAGCCATGAACTTGCTGGAATGAAGTTAGTCTGACTTGCCTTTAGTTTCCCAGATCTTCCTTTGTGTCCTTCTTGAAATGGTTTTAACAATAAAAAATGTTTTCATGATGAGAGGGCTCAGTGTTACTCACCTTGCTTCTATTAACAGTTTATTATAATTCACTTTCTATTAGTGACTTTTGCAGTAAATCTTGAGTGACATATTAACATCTATCCAGTTTTTACTATATAGACTTTTAAATTTTTTATGCAATTTAACTTCTACGCGACTGTTCAGAGTAACAAAACCCAGTTATAAGATAATAAGGATAGGTCAATTAGATACACCAGTTAAAGAGACTGGATTTGACTCAAAAAGCGAATACAAATCCAGATGGGTAACATTTTTACATAGTATTTTCAACATTTCTCACAAACCATCATTCTCACTTAGACATATTATCAGCTAGAAGATGCACAGGATTTATAGCCAGAAATAAAGACTGCTGAGTAATCAATGTAAAGTGGAGTCCTAGTGGAAAAAGAAAAAAGATAAGAAAAAAACAGAGAAGTTAAAGAGACCCAATGTACTTCATGTTGCACTAAGAGACAGGATGTTCAAAACTCTTCCACCACCTGCAGTTTATCTTTGGGTTTACCACTTCAGCACAGCTTCTGGAATGTTTTTCTCTTACTTCCCATCTATTGTTCACCAAGATGTTTATCTGTAAACAGACAGATCCACACAGGCACTACAGCTGAAGAATGGCACTAGTATTAAAGGCTGCCCACACAGCACAGAACAACAGACATGAAAAACAACACACAGATTCCATGAGCCATTTAGAAATTAAAAACCAGCTTTGAAGCACTTACTTGCAAGACAGGACCGAGAGCAGAAGTAGTTCAGGCAAAATTTAAGAAATAGAGACAGAAAGAGTCTGTCTTTGCCTTTTAGTAAATTCAGTGTAGCATAAAGTCCATTTAGCAAATGGAGGTGGTTATGAGCTAGTAATTTCCAGCCACACAGATCCTACGTGCTCCACTACAGAACAGAAGATAATGTCTGAACATGAGAGAATAAAAATTCAAGACAAGTTTAACACCCTCACTAAAGGCCTGGAAAGAAAATCCTTTTTAACAACAGAATAGGAGGTAAATGTATTTTGTGTGGAGATAGGCTGCTTACTACATATCAATGATATCACTAATCTAGTTATGAGAATGTGTGCATTCTCATAGGGAGTGGTGAGAAGAAGGATAAATACCTCAGCATTAAGATAATCATAAAGCTCTTTCAATTCCATGAAGTGGAGGAATCCCAGAACCTCTCTGTATGTAGGTAGCTGCTGCATACAAGCACTCTGATTAAGGAAGTGTTACACTACAATGGTAATTAGTGTTCTTACTCAGCAGCACAAGTGACCAGTGAGGGCACCTGCCCTGCACTGTTAATTAAGACTCAGATCAGTAAATCTGCGAGTAATCATCACTTTTTCCTACTGCTTTCAGTCATATTGAAGCCATGCTTTTACATTCATAACAAAGGGGTGAACCATTCATTTCCATACGTATACCACGTCTTCTCTTCGAACAGGTGAAGTCTGTAAGTACATGCCCACACAGCTTCCTCTGATTGAGGAAATTATTCAGCTGAAAGAAACCTTCGCCAAAAATAAGAGTATTACTCTGCTAGATACATTCCCCGATTTTGTTCCTCTACATGGAGACACCATCACTTAAACAACTCCATAGGGAGTAAAGTGGAAGACAACAGATGGCCTGAAGACTGAAATACTTCAGAAAGATGGTCTCAAAGGTACATGGGTTTTGTCTTTTTTTTTTTAAATATAAAAAGAAATATCTTTCAAATTCATCCAAAACGCTTCTTGTTTTTAAATAAGTGGGTAGATAAGCGTATTTTAGAAAACATGCTTTCAAAAGAGAACCAGTTGTAAAGACTATTCATAACGATTAAATTCTCCCAAGCATCCTGCTCTTACGAGTTTAAAAAAAAAAGGTCTAAACATCAAGGGCCACAGCTTAACACCTGATCAGGGAAGAGAACAAAACTCCAACTAAACTCAGTTTAGATCATTTGAACATGCTCCTGTGCTCATGATGCTACATTTAACCTTTGCTGCTTCCTGAGGAAGTACTATTACTGGGGCAGGGGGTAGGAGAGGGCAGCCACCAAACAAGTAAGATCAGTCATTTCTACCCTTACCTTTTCACTCCATGCCCACAGACCAGCTGCAAGGAAGGCCACCCCAGCCAGCTAAAACAAAAAGGAAAGATGCATTAGACACACCAAGCAACAAATTCTCAAACACTTAACCAGTAGCACTGTTGCTCAAGTAAAACAAATATTGTCTGTGATCTAAAACAATAGTAATGGGACATTCCTCCCCATGAGTCACTCTCTTGCAAAAAGGATTTACAGCACTTTTATTCCATAGCATTCTTGCATTTTATAAACTACTTTTTAAAAGTATTTCAATTTGATTATTCATGATTACTCAAGAAGCACACAGTACTAAATTAGAATTCCACATAGTAGAGTGCGAGTCGAGTTATCCTTGTCCCAATGACTTGCTCTAAACCTTTTGCCTGCGCACAAATGAAGATTTCATAATATTTAATGCATTTTGAGGTTATTCCCTCTTTAGCCATTTTATAGTACCACCCCAGACAGCAGCCATGCTTGACTCTTCATAACTTCTCAGTGTCAAGGCTCATTATACTAGTTTCTTTTCTGAACAGATACAGTTTGTCTTCTGAATCCTTACCTCGTTTTAAGCCCTTTTGAATTAAGCTGATGTAATGGTCCATCCACTTACTTTCAATAAGCAACAAATTTAATTGACAACGTACGAACCCTACACCAGTTCATATGTTTGTATAATAAATACTTCTGAATTATATTCATCCAAATAAAGCAAGAGATCCTTGTTCTAGTCTTTTATTCCCTTTCTGCATTCTCAGGCAGTTTGTCTGTAATATCCAATTTCAATAATCAAAATGAAATGACCTCTCTACAAACTGAGGGCAGCTCCCCCTCATTACTTAAAATGGTATTCTACCCTGCTATGTCCACATAACCTTAAATGACATCGAGGTGCTGGAGCATGTCTGAAGAACAGCAAAGCTGATGAGGGGTCTGGAGCATAAGTCCTGTGAAGAGCGT